GTGTTTTATCTACCTGAGGGAGTTGTAACAAGACCCTGGCTGAAACAGGAAATATACAATAAATCCCATTTTTATGACTCTGTAAGTCAATGATTTTATGGTTTTAGTAACAGGCATGTAAGAAGCATTTTAGGGTTTAGTTTTCAGTGAGTTGCATGGTTGTTTTTGGTTTGTAGCTTTGTGTTTGTTTTTCTCAGGCAGTGTATATAAGCAAATTAAATCACATGTAATCCTGAGATTGCCAAAGAAAGATTCAGGACATTAAAAACCTGTTCTAAAGAAGTATTTTTCTCAGCTAGTTTTACTCTTGGGAATGTCCTGAATAGATACAGTCATGCCTGCACCTTTTTTTCAGCTGGAATGGGCAGGCCATTCCATAAACCAAGACCGTAAAGAACACTCTTGGTTTATAAACAGCAGCCAGAGTGAGCTTGTGTCTTCTCTGAACACTGCCACAGGTCACTGGTCTGAAGGGTCTGGCAGAACATGCAAACTGGAAGTTTATTATATGTCACCTAGAGATTACAGCCTAATGCAGGCTGTTCTCTCCAGTGCTGAATGAAGTGTATGGTGTCTAAAATACAAATATGCCTGCACCCAGGCTGCTGCATCTGCAGGGCAGTTGTTAGACTAGGAAGAATAACACCCTTGTTCTGCATTTTTTCCTCATCTCTGATTTTCCCTTTCTGAAATTCATGGAACCATACAATGGTTTGGGTTGGAAGGGACCTTAAATATAATCTCATTCCACCCCCTGCCATGGGCAGGGACACCTTCCATTAGCCCAGGTTTCTCCATGCCTCTTCCAATGTGGTCTTGGACCACACCTGGGGCAGCCACAGCTTCTTTGACAAACCTGTACCAGGCCTCACCACCCTCACAGCCAAGAATTCCTTCCAATATCAGCCTAAACCTGCTCTCTTTCAGTTTGAAGCCATTCCCTTTTGTCCTATCACTTCTAGTTTGTTTTAGACACATCCTCATTTCTCAACCACTTGTAGACTATGGAATTAAATGCATCCACAGTATGTACTTAGTCTCTCTTCTCTTAGAAATGTAAATACAGATTTGTTCATCTGCTGAACTCTGCCCTGAGCCAGAGTAGGTGGGACATGATTTAAGCTGGTCCTTCATCCTTCCTGTGCCTCCTCTGGCCTATAAGCACCCCTTGGTTACAGAGGTGAAATACTAGGGTGTGTATATGGGGATGTTTCTTATCTCTAAAGGATAGAAGTGATGCTAACAAATACACTTGGGACTGGGATAAAACTGTTGTTAACAAATACACTTGGGGCTGCCTTGACTGCAACATATTAATCCTGACCAAACCTGTATGTATTTCTTAGTATTGCAAAGAAAGCTTCAGATTTCAGTTTTATTTTTTAATGAGGTCATATTTCTATATTTCTATTTAGTAACGTAGTTGTTCCAGCTTAAGTTTGAAATACATGTATTTCTGTATTTCAAGCCATTAAGTTTTCCTAATGGACAGCTCTAACAGTGGAGCTGGACATCAAAGCATCTCAGAAACTCAGAATCTCTTGCTTCTTAAGCTTCTTGCTGTTTATCTGCCCTCCTGCAAGAGAAAAAGAAGGGGGGGAAGAATAGATACCGTGTAAGGGAAAACAAAATGAAGAAATAAATTAATGCCAGGTGTCTGGAAGCAGTTCCTTACTCAGCTTCCTTTTGGGGAAAGGTGCACCAACAAAACAATCCTTTTTCATCTTCTCTGCAGCCTTCCTCATTCTGCTCTGTTTCTGTATCCCCAGAGCTGTGAGGGTTATCCTGACATCTGCTGAAACCCATCCTCGTGGTATTCCAAGGCAACCAAGTTGGGTTTTTTTAAACGGGATTATGGATGAGTAAATTGGAATCCAGGCACTATGCGCTGTTGTAGGTCACCATGATTCTTGTGGGGAATAATAATAGTAATAATAATTAATGATGATGATGATAATAAAACCACCAACACCTTTTTCTTTAATTTTTGTATGAGGTACTCTAGAGGCAAATCCCTCCCCTCGGCCTCAACCCCACAGAGTTCTTGTTTATTCTAGGAAATAACTTTGTGTGCTACTATGGGCTGTTTTATTATTCTTAAATATATAGGTTTGTACCAACCCCCCAAAGTCTACCACAAAACTCACAGGCATGCAATGCTGATCTCAGTCTGCTGCCTGGGCATACTTTTATTAAGAAATTCTTGCTGGTCATGCATGACATCAAGCTGATAGAATGATGATACCATAATTGACTAAGCCCTTTTGGAGTTGTTCAAGATAAGGAATTTGATTGTTGTCACAAGCCAGCCCCAGAGTTTTAGCACTGCCCTTGTTGATGGAAGCTGTAGAAATAGATTTTTTTTTTTTTCTTCATAAATCTCCAGAAAGTGGTGGGAGAGAAGGGGGTGAAATTCCTGACAGCACTGTGGTAGCACCTAGAGTAAAAGCTACTTTGTATTTTGAGACTAGTGGAAAATTTCATATACCACAGCACATGGTTTCTCAGCTAACATAAAAACTCTCTAGTCACCATTTTCAGTGTGTACACCTATTATAGTTCCAATTAGCAGTATTGGTAATGTGCAGCAACTGCACCTGAAGACAGAGTAGGTTGGTAGTTTGCTCTTTTCCTCTATCCATTTTATTTTCCTCCTAGTGTAACTACCTGCAGAGCACCGTAGCTGCATTTTGATAGCATGAAACCACAGCCTCCTCTTCACTGTCTCTTTTTCTGCTTTACCATACTCTTGGTCTGTTTAAAAAGGTGTCAAGACTGGCCATAGTGCTTCTGTAGAACAGAAAATAAGTTGGCAGACAGTGGGGGTGTAAATATCTAGCTGAAATAGCAATGTTTCAGGTCGGTAATCAGATTGCCTAGTTGCAGCCAGAGGTGAATTTTTACCACCTTGTATAAGGTGATTTATAGTGGAAGCATTAAGAGGTAATGAATGCAGACAGCCCAGTGGGCCAGCAGCCCCCAGTCCTGCCAGCAGCCCATTCTTTCCCAGGCACCCAGGATTCTCTCCCAGCTGCACCAGGAGCTTGCCAGCAGAGCAGGGCAGTGGGCAATGCTCTGCCAGCTGAATGTATGGGAGCTATCTTCACACCAGCACTGCCACATGTGAAGCCAGGTTGCATAGGAATGTGTGTTAATGTTTGTGATCTCGTGGGGATGCCAGCATTTGCTGTTCTGAAAGGATTTTCAGGAATTTTACTGTTTAAATAAAGAAGTACAAGGTCCTCTAATGTAGGTCATGTAGACTTGGGGCTAAAAAAATTAAACTTATGGACTTGATAGCCTTATTGCAGGCATAGGAATATTCACTATTATCAGTGGTTTTTCCTGCAAAGCACAGAAAATATTTTTAAAGCTGTTTTGTGTAATTATCAATCTGAAAAAAAATTCCAGAAATGAAATACAGAGACAGGAGAATTTCATATTGAAGTAGAAAAGTATGCTCATTCATGTCAATAAGCACTTTGCATTGCTCTGCCTCATTTTGCAGGACTCATTCTCAGGGATGCAAGGCTCTCACACAGCTGTCAGGTAAGGTCCTAATGTATCCAGTTCCCAACCAGCTGGGTAAGGTTTTTATTACAACACATGTTTTTAAAATATGTATTGTTTTACACTGCTAGGGAAAACTCAAGCCTGAGGCTTTGCTATGACTAAAATTGAAGAGCTAAGAAGAGGAGTAAAAACAGTTCTGTCTCTAATTCCCCCGTGGATGAGCAAGCTTCCCTTTGCTTGCCTTCATGGCTATTTTGCAAGCCTGGATGCAGGTGCAGGGTCATGGGCAGCCTGACTGATGGTTCCTAAGGCTGTCACATGCACATGTGTGTGAACATTTCTGCCTCCCTTTGAGGCCCAAATTTACTTCTAGGAGTGCAGGGAACGAGGTTTTGGTCCTTGAAATTAGCCCTTGTGGAGGTGGGCAAATAAAAGGTACCTTTACTCCACTGGCCATATCACAGCTCCTTGTTTGCTTGGCATGTGCCTTTGCTGGAACCAGGACAGTAGCAGCTGAGTTAAAGGGATCAAGGTTTCATCTGCAGTCATAAAACTAAAAACTGCAGCAAAGCCTTTCTAGGCTTAGGACCCTGTGTTTGTGAGTCTGTATCCATGGTTGCTTTCACAGCTTGTTCACATTTTTGGTCTGGTTTCTGAGCATTGGCTTGTGGTAGGTGTGTTTCTACTCACAGGTTTGATTTAGGGGCAGAAACTGGAATAATAAATGCATGATCGAGCAGTTGCTCATACGTTTAGAACTGGAAAGAATTTATTCAGCTAATAAATGTCAGCTTGTTTTCTCAGTGCCACCTGGTCTAGTGGAAGGTGTCCCCGTCCATGGCAGGGCGCTGGAACTACATGGTCTTTAAGGTCCTTTCCAACACAAACTGTTCTGTGATTCTATGATTATATCTAGGTGCATTTTTTCAGATAAAGTCAGAACTCCCTTTATTGTGCCACTGTTTTGCGAGGTATCTTAAATAGTATCTGGCCTCTTCAAATTTGTTTTTTTAACCTGAAAAGAGAGCATCCCCAGCTGCTCACCCGAATCTCCCTCGTTTTTAAGCCTCTTAACATTATTACTGTCTTCTAAAACTGCTCACCCATCGCTCTGTGCTTTTCGTGTGTACCTCTTGCTTAAGCACTTGCACAAAAATAAGTTAAAAAAAAAAGGTCTTTCCTGAAACTATATGAATGTATCTCCGAGCGATTGGCCTGAAATCAGTAAGGTTTTCACTTCGGGGAGAACTTAAGGCGAGGACGAGGCAAATTTCTCTCTCCCGTCCTTCCCAGCAAGAGCTCCTCCGCCGGCCTCGCGCAGGGCTCTCCTTTGTTCGGGGCCGGGCTGCGGGACGGGCGGAGAGAGGCGGGACCCGCGGGGGCAGCGCGGAGGGGCCGGGCAGGGCCGGGCCGAGCCGAGCCGGGCGGAGCCGCCCCCGCGCCGCGCTCTGCCCGCTCGGCCCCTGCTCACCGTCGGGGCGGGCGGCATGTGGCGGGCCCTGCCGCTGCCGGTGCCCGTGCTGGCCCTGGCCGGGCTGCTGCTGCTGCTGGGGCGGCCGCCGCCGGGGCAGGGGGCGGCCTGCGAGCCCGTGCGCATCCCGCTCTGCAAGCCGCTGCCCTGGAACATGACCAAGATGCCGAACCACCTGCACCACAGCACGCAGGCCAACGCCGTGCTGGCCATGGAGCAGTTCGAGGGGCTGCTGGGCACCAACTGCAGCCCCGACCTGCTCTTCTTCCTGTGCGCCATGTACGCGCCCATCTGCACCATCGACTTCCAGCACGAGCCCATCAAGCCCTGCAAGTCCGTGTGCGAGCGCGCCCGCGCCGGCTGCGAGCCCGTGCTGGTCCGCTACAGCCACGCCTGGCCCGACAGCCTGGCCTGCGACGAGCTGCCCGTGTACGACCGCGGCGTGTGCATCTCCCCGGAGGCCATCGTCACCGCCGAGGGCGCGGGTGAGTGCGCGGGGACCGGCCCCGGCGCGGGGACAGGGACAATGGGGGCGGGCGGGGAGGGCAGCACGGCCGGCCCCGCAGCCCTGCCTCCCCTCCCGCAGCCCTCGGCTTCTCTCTGCTCTGCCCTCCGCTCTCCTGCTGTCTTTTCTTTGCCTGTAGCGGCCGCGTCGCTGCCGCTGGAAAAGTTTTGCTGTTGGGCACGGAGTGTGTGTGACAAGTGACAGCCCCGCCGCCGTTCTGTGAGCGTGGGAGCTGCAGCCCTCGTTCCACGCGAACGGGAAGCGTTTCCACTCCGCTCTGCCGTGATCCATCGGCAGAGGATGGAGAGCCACCCAAGTGAGGGGCAGCCCCCAGGCTGCCGGCTCCCCTTCCCCCTCCCGGCTCATCTCTGCTCCTCTCCAGCCGCTCCCTCCCACAGCAGGTTGCTCCCCTCCCACTCCACGGACCGGGGAAAGATCTGTGCCCGCAGGAGCCCCAGGCAGGAGCTGGGGGACCGGGATGTCCCCACCCGCTTCCTGTGCCGGTGGTGACACATGCACACCTGAAGGGGAGAAAACATGCTCATTTGAGAGGTTACAGGTTTCAGCACAGGTTTGCCAGCAGATCCCTGGGCTCTAGAATTATACCAGGTGAGGAGAGTAGTGAAGTGCAGCCTTCCGTTGTGTTTGGTTCCCAACATCCCTGAAGAGAGCCAAATGCTGCCTGCTGCACCCATGTCAACTCTAGTACAGCCCTGGTGGTGGCTGTGACCCCTGTGGCCTCACAGGGGCTCTTGGAGCTGCTCAGCTTTCTCACTGCATCCTGTTTCTCCAGCTGAGCTCCCTGTGATCCCACAGGATGGCTGCTGCTGGCTGGCTGCCTGCCTTCCAGCAGTCCTGTCAGAGGCAGGAGCATCTCTGCACAGTTAGGTGAGGACTGCTGAGTGTTCAGGCCACCACCGAGCTACAAACCTGCTGTGGCTCAGGGATCCTGCTCTTGTCACAGCTGCCTTTGGGCTGGAGGAGTTGGCAGGACACTGCTCCAAAGTGCTAAACTGAGCAGCACAGAAATACTGAATACAGGGAGCTATTGAACAGGCAATTAAAGCGAGCTCGTGGGTGCTTATCACGAGTGAGCTATGACCTTTTACAAAGTGACTACAGTTCCTGTGTGTTTTCATGAAAGCATTTGCTGCGAGTGGAACCAGGCTGCCATTTTCTTTGATGCAAAGTTTCAGTGCTGGTGGCTCTGCCAGACTGCTCCATCAGAGGAGTTGCAGAGCAGAGCTGGGGTGGGAGAGCAGAGCAGAGGGGTCAGAGCAGAGCAGCACCCGTGCACCCCACAAGCTTGTGCTGCTGCCTGTCTCCTTCAGTGCCTACAGCTGCAGTGCTGGGTTATTGGAGCTCACTGCCGGGCAGTGGATCTCACCTCTCTGTCCTCCCCCAGCAGTGGCCTGGGAATGAAAGGGGAATTTTTCATGCTGTGCTCAGCACAGTGTTTTACTGTGCTTCTGTCCCACTACCAAATGCTTTATGTATCCCACTGCCAGTAATGCCAAACGCTGTAATTCCTGTTTTCTTCTCCTAACAAAATATCACGCTTCAGTTTCCTGACCGTGCTCCCCAGCTCAGCCTGCCCAGGTAAGCTGCTCTCTCCATCTCCATTTATTTACAGGCCAGACAAACCCTACTCCATCCCTGACTCTATTCTCTTACCCTCTGCACCTCTTGAAACCTCCATGCCATGGTATCTCCAGTCATTACTGCTATTTCTAACTTCTCACTGCTTCCTTCTTGCTGTTTCCTTCTTTTTTCCCCAGCCCATGAATGCAACCATCTATTTTTGCCATCAGCTGCTTCTCTCTGAGGGCTGCAGTCCTGCTGGGGTAGTTTTGGGGAGATGTGGTTTTGAACACCAAGCACCTTTCTCTGCAGCATTGAGGTGCTTTCAAAACCACCTTAAAAATGGCTGCAGCATGAGCAAGGTTTGGCAGGTCTGCAGCGATTTGAAAGCAATCACATTCAAATCTGGAGGGAGGAAGCTTGGCTGAAATCGCCCCCGAGTTACCTATTTCTGAGGACCTCAGCAGTACAATAACCTCTTTGAGGGATTCCAGGGCCAGATCCATGAAAACTCTCTTTCAGTGAATGAGAACCTGATGACATTCTCATTTCTGGGCTGAATATTTTGAACTGGTGCATTATGCACCAGACTGAAAGAATCCTTCTTGAGGGAATAAAACTGTTCTTTTAGAAAGCAGAGGGAAGGATTCCTGTTCTAGGGAGAGGTAAGGTGAACACTTTAAAATCCAATTCTCCAAATAAAAAATTGCACCTCAGTAAAAGACACGAATAACCAACTGCCTGATGAGAGTAGTGTGCAGAATACCTGCTCTTATTTGCTTTTATTTATCTCCTAAGCATTCTTGCCCCTTCTGCTATCTGTAAACTACATCTAATAGAGCAGGCAGAAACATAATCCATTGTTTCATGGCTTTCTGTTGTAGAAGGGGCTTTTTCTATTCTTCAGAAGTGAAAACTTGTTTTTGCTTTCATTCTTTTGCTACCTGTAACAGGGCTCTACTGTTTCCTTTCCTCTTGAGGTTTCTGCATTATTGCTGGTGAACATTAGAATGTTTGTCTTATCCCTTCCATAAGGGAGCAGCCTTAAGGATGATGTAGTCAGTGTTTGTCCTTGTCAGAGCAGGGGCTGGGTCCACAAGCCCAATTTCCACCAGTTATATTCCCTGCATCCCAGTAGCCTGTGACTGTTGCAAATATGGAGGAACTATGGTTGGTAAGATCTGTGATAAATCTCACTAAGAAGTTCACTTTCAGCTGTTGAGGTAAAGTCTATCCCAGGTGTGGAATCTAGGACCTTCTTCCATTTGAGTTCAGGTGGTGAGAAATCTGGGCACTCCCAGCACCAAGGGGCTGCTGACAGGGTGAAGGGGGTGAAGCAGCTGCTGCAATGTCTGTGATGGAGAAAGCTGACAACAATGCTGTGGTTTGGACTCAGTTAGAGGAATAGCACACCCCCTGGGCTTGTGCTGGTCTCCAAAATCTGAGTGGGAGTCCTGATGGGGAGTTCTTAAGTTCCTCAAGGTACAGAGATTGGCTTAAAAGAAGTGTAATGTGGAAAGTGGATGTTTCTCCATTTTTCATTCTCTTTGGGAAACCTCCGGATTCCTTTGCAGCCAGAAAACAGAGGGATGCTGCAGGCATGGTGTGGGTGTCCTGGAGGTGAGTGTGGTGCTGAATATTTTGCCTTTTTGTGGAGGATCCAACAAATCATCATCCAGGATGGAGGATGAAAGAGCATCTTGGCAATACATTAACACCCCAGGTGTCAGATGTCAGATTAGTGCATGCTAATGTTTGAAGTCTCCTATGGCATTTATCCCACATCCCTGTCCTGTGCTTTTTAGAGGTGAAAGTGGTTCTGCTTGCAGACATTGGTACAAGCTGTCTTACATCTCTGGGAGTTCATATATTTCAGTCTTCACGTGCATATACTTATTCTTCCTCCAGTCTATCAGACTATCTGCTTCTCTCATTCAGGACCCTGTCAAACCTTCTAGGGTCTGTGAAGCAGGAGGAACTGCTGAGAGACAAAATTGCCTCAAATCTAGAATTTCAGAGGCAGGACCTGTCTTTTTTGCAGGTAATAAGTGGCCAGTGTTGGCGTTGGGATGCTGACTAAAAAGGCATCTTCCACATATGTCCTAGCAGAATGTTTATGTCTCAAGTGAAATGTTTATTCCTGTTTTGAAGAGGGAACTAGCAACAAAACCAGAGCAGTGTGATGGGTACTGTGCATGTTGGAAGATAGATTTGTCAGGCAGGTTGTCTCACCATATCTTATTTACATAAGAATATAGCTTGAAGGCATGTTGGCCTGTTAATAAGATGTTGGAGAAAAGGGAAGCCACATCACAAGGTATCAACCATGTGTAGTTAACACCCAAACTAGACTATAAGATGTCTAAGGAGAACTTTGAAATCTTTTTTTTAAAACAACACCATCTCTTAAACATTAAAGAAAATTACAGATTATTCACATGATGGACACCTATTTTCCTAAATATATGTGAAGCCATGATTTCTCCATGTTGCCCAAGTCCTCCTTGTCTGCTTGGATGAGTTCTTAGTAACCCATTATGTTAATTTGGCATTGCAGGCTTAAAAGACAAGTGAACAAGCCATTTCTCATGCTTATTTCTTATATATTATTAACTTAATTTCCAAAACAGTGGTTTCCAAGCTCCAGATCAAATTTGTTCTGACTCAGTCTTTGCCTAGATCTACTTAGAGCAGTTGATGTACTTGATGGTGCTGGGGGAGTGTTACAGACTCTGTTGAGGATGAGCAGTCTTGCCCAGGTTATTGTTTATAAAGTTGGGATTTGTTTAGGTCTTTGCTGAAAAAAACTTGGGAGCAGCCTCATTTCTCAGTTAAATAACAAAGTTATTGCAAGCTTCAAGCCTGAAACAGGACAGGAGAAGTTAATAAGTGAATTTAAATTATAGTAATGAAGATACCCCTAATGGTATCAGGTGCTCACTAGAGTTCAGCTGCCTTTGTAGGCTGAGATTTTACAGTCTAAGCATTTAGTCAATACCTGGGCCATTAAATGTCATCAAAACCTGGTGGGATTTGTTATGAGGAATTTGTTATTTGGAGCAGCCATGTTGCTGGCTGCTCTACAACTTGGAGTTTGAATTCTTTGTATTAAATATTAACTAGCATCAATTTTCCTAACACTTGGCTTTTCCTTGCATGTTTTTACAACCAACTTAGCAAAGATCCTCGCTGTGTTAGGAGCTGAAGTAAATGACAATGAATTCATGCACTGTGGAAGGGTTCCCTCATGAATGGGGCTCACAGATATCTCAGTCTCAAGAAGACCCAAGCAGCAGCCACTGGCTGTGGTTTAGTTCTTTGGAGCACGGTGCCTGGAGTGGCTTCAGTAATAGCTATGTTCTTTAACCATAATGACAACCAGGATTGTGTTACTTTTGGCCTTCCTCTGCCTTTTAACATTTTTATTTATTTAAACAGCGATATAGGAAAGATGTTTGCTCAAAAGTAGGTATTACCAAGTTGTTTCTCTTTTTCAAACCTCTCCTCCAAATCGGTGATTGCAGACATTGTCATTTTGTACACTTACTGTGTAAGTGGCTTTTATTTAGATCTCAGTGTTTTGTTTTGTTTTTTTTTAATATAGAATCCCTCTGAAAAGCAATTAATTAAGATGACATATCGGAAAAAAGAGTTTGGATTTTTTTGTCCCCTGCTCCTAAACAAAATTGAATAGGGAACTTTTGGGTTGGACCTCTCGATAGTATTCCCCTCTTTGGCAATCCTGCTAATCATCACTGACAGGTATTTATTTCAGAAAGATTCCTTTGCATAGACAGAACTTGGCAGAGGGTTTGCCCATGAAGAGAAATGGAGCAATAGGATGTCAGTTGTCAGGGTTTTTTTAAATAGCTTTTTTTCCCCCTCCGTCTGCATTACACCTAGAGGTCTCAGCAGTCCTGAGCATCTCCTGGTCGGGAGAGGCCCCTGTCCATCAGGCTGCTGGGGAGAGGGATTTCACAGGGGCTGGGTGGGTGCTCACACCCACCTAAGATGGGTGGCCTGGACCCTCTTGCAGTCTCCTGTCTGGTAGGTAAGCAGGGACCAGACTGTACGAGCTTACCTGGGGACAGGGTCAGAGAAATGAGGAGGCTTTCCTGGCAGATGTCATCCAGTGGCAGAGGTCTCCAGTCTTTTCCATAAACCCATGCTCCTGTCCCTCTGGAGGAACCAGCCAGCCCTGAGTAGACATGAGTGCACTGGAAAGGATAAGCATCGAGGCAAGGTCAGAACTTGCCTGGCCCAAGCCCTCCCAAGTCTGGAGATGAGCCATGAACTGATGTGTGGGTGCCTGTTCATCCCTCCTCTGCACATCCATGGACACCACGTCCTGACCACAGGGCTGCACTGCTGCCTTTGTGCAGGCACAGAAACAGGAGGCACTTCCACTGATGGCTGCTTTGCACAGAGTCTGAATTACTCTGGCTCAATTACTTTGGCTGCACTCACAGCTGCTTTGTTGGGTATTACTGGGTTGGGGTAGGACAGGTGACCTGGCAGGGCAGAATTAGGAGATGTGTTGTGATTTGGTTAAAAATAAGATGTGTCCTAGGAGTGTATGGGAATATCTGGCCTAGAGCAGGTTAGTTCCATGCTTGTTGGCAGGACCAGATTTATGCTGGCTGTATAAAGTGTTGGTGTGAGCTCAAAGGACATTTCCTCAGCCAGCACCCATGAGCATCACAGTCCACATGGGCCAGGGAAGGCTGTGACCCCTTTACTGGGCCCTGGTTTATTTTGAGTTGTAATTTCAGTGTGCATTGGGCTAGGTTTGCTCAAGCACCGTGATGCCACATCTGCTTGGGTTCAGCCTTGGTTTAAGTAGGGACAGAGCACTTCAGGGCTTCTTTTTCCTTCTATGGATGGAAGATGGTAAACATTCAATCTGATAATTCTCTTCTCCATGGTGAAGATTTTTTTCTGTCCCCAGTAACAATTTTGATGGAATGGGGAATGTGCTTTGAAGGTATGAACAAACTATCCCTGAAATAACTGTTTTGGTAGGAATTTTAGCTTGCTGGGCCACATGAAAACCCAGAGAAGCTGGCTTGGTCATATGCAGATGGCCTCCAAGAAAACCTGAGAATGTGGCCAAGGCAAGTGAGTGGGAGGAGCAGTGGATCTGGAGAGGGGTTGGGATGCCCAGAGTGGTGAAACATCAGTCCTGGGTACACAGAGAAGCCTTTATGGCTACCTCTCTCTGGCTGGTGGCTGGAGGGTTTTTTTGTCTGTAGTTGCAGCAGATGGGAGGATTATCAGCCCATAGACCTGAGTGCTCTCTATGCTTTCACCATATCAGAAGGAATTGTAGATTTAAAGCTATAGCTTGGCTGAATGAGCAAGATAATTGGCCCAGGAGAGGAAGAATGAGAAGTGTGGTTATCCTTTTGTTTGCCATTTGCAAGAGGGAAGCCATTTCAATTCCTCTTTCATCACATCCTGGAATACTAGAATGCATTTGATACAATATAAAATGCATTCTTAATGCATTGAGAATAACTCAGGTGAATAATCAAAATCAAACATGTAAGTAAAAACCAGCTAGTACAGTTTGACTTGTTATAAGAGAGCATGGTGAAGATTCAGAGGTTCTTCTATGGAAGCACTTGATTGCAAAGATCAGATTGGCTCCATAAAAATGTTGGGTTTTTTGTGTAAACTAAGATCCTGTGGGAGTTTGGAACTTTCTTTGCAAGGAAATGGATGTGATGTTTATTAGCAACAAGATACTGAATATAAAAGAGCATCTATTCAATCTTTCTATGCTATTTCCTATACCCTTTGCTCTTTATGTTGATTAGAACAATTATTCCTGAGGTCTCAATTTTTTTTAAAGTTAATTATTATGTGATGGAGTTAGTTGTTTTTCAGTTTTACTCTTGCCCTGACTGTGATTTAGTTGCATCCTCAATTAAGTAAATGAAGTTTCATGTTGCTTAAGTAGTATAAGTATTCATTAAGTGGAGATTTTACTTTATTTTTTTTAAGGATGGCAAAATTAGAAGGTTAGCTAAGTAATATTACTTTTCTTGTAAGCAGGTATTTACAGGATTTGTGATTAAATAATGATCCCGGTCCTTAAAATTTAATCCACACATCTAAAGTGATCATAAATAGGAGTATCATGAGTGTCCTGGGCTGTTTTACAGCAAATGCTGGAAGCTCAGGCTGCAGGAGAGGAGCTTTTTTTGCATTTGTTCTGCATTGTAAAAGCAGTGGCCTTGCCCCCATGATTATGTAAGAATCCAAGAAAGATGATTGCAGGATTCCAGATTCCAGAATTGGAAGAGCAGCATAAATGACTAAGTGTGCAAAATTACAGACTGGCTTTTTCTTTGAAAGCTCATTTGTTTTTCCATTTTATGTGCCATTCTAATAAAGTGTCCTGCCTCTCTCCCAATTCTTGTTCTTCCTGCATTTATTTTGTCCTTAGCTCATTCAGGGTTATATGCATTAACATACTTGTTTTTCATGATGAAATATATGTATAAACCCATTAAATTGTGTGATTTAGTAAGTAGGTTTGAAATTATGAATTTTACTAATGTGGGACACACTCCACTTACAAATGTGTCTGAAAGCAGTTCTTTGGGCATAGTGCCTTTTTAAACTTCTGTTCCTTATCTGTCCTTCAGAGTAATCAGTATGTTTTTAAACTGAGGGGAAGGTCTGAAACATTTATTTTGGCATTTACTTCCACAGTATGATTATGGTTGGTTGATTTGATTTCCTCAGTAACCAAAAAAAAATCCCCAAAAGTAATTTCTCCTTCATCATCTAATTAAATGCAAACACTACACATGTTTTCTGTAGGTGATCAAAATTCATGCCATAAATGTCAACCCTTGTCTGAAACCTGCCAGCCTGTAGCAATGGAAATGGGATATTTAGTCTGCTTCAGCATTTAACATGATATGCTGGATTAATGTGAAATTTGGGTAAGACATTGTGTCAACTTTAGTGGACTGACCTCTAGAATATTACAAACTGTTTATTAGTAAAGTTATTAAGTTTCCACGTACTAAATGTTAGAGAAAATGTTGTAATATATGTGTAGTGAAATAATCCAATATTAAAAATACTAACATTTCTTTACATATTTTACATATCCATGCCAGATTTCCCTATGGATTCTAATAATGGCAACTGCAGAGGTGCTGGCATTGGTAAGTACATTTTTATAAAGCTGTATAATAAGCTGTGGACTTTCAAATCCTTTAAATATTTAATTAAGAGGGCTACTAAGCAATAAATACTTAAATACTTAGTCTTGACTGAGAATGCTGTAGATTGTGCTCTTGCATTCCATGGGCAGGTTGGATTTGGGGCTGGTCAGCCTCAAAATGTCCATCAAAGCAAAAGGGCTGTGCTGATCTTATTAAAAGTTTTGTCTTGAGCAGGGAGAGTAATCATTACATTGATTTTTTTTTCCCTGGGCAAAACCAGCGAAGATAATGCTTCATTCCGACCTTAAAGTTTTCAAATTAAATTCAGTACTCTTTGTAGATAATGGCAATACTCACATTAGCCTGAGGAGGTTGGGGATAGCACCTTCTGAGGCTGGTTTTATCCCAACAAGTCTCCTGTTGCTTTTTATTTCTGTTTTGGTTTTGCTGGAACTGTATCAAACTGAATCAAACCCCTTGAGCATTACCACTGCTTGCCAATGCAAAGCAGCAAAGCCTAGGATGGTATATAATAATTATGGAATAATAATTACAGAAATGTGAATCTTTTGCTCAAGCAAGCCAATGAGTGTAGATTTCCTTGGATTTTGTTATGATTCCATCCAAAATTCTCCTCTTAGGTCTTTGTCAAGAAGTTGAGACTTGGAAGCCTAGCATTGACCTCTGTGTCTTTCCTTCTGCAGAGGTGCTGATGAGCTGCAGTGAGCACTGATGTTCACTTCCAGAATATAAACACCAAAGCATGGTTGTTGAACCTCTCATTAGATACCTGTATATATAATTTCAGCAGTAAGCTCTGTTACCAAATTGCAAAAAGGTATTAGTAATGCCCAGTTTATAATACAGTTTAAAAAACCCTTAAAAACAAGCCCCTTAACAACCTTTACTTTAAATTGTCTTGAGCATGAGACCATGTCTGGAAGACTTGCTAAAGATATTTGTTACTAAAGTTAGTAACTTTGTTGTTTGAAGCTATTTTCAGTTGTGTGGCATTGAGAAATTAGGGATTTCGTGCTCAGTGTGGACTCTACAAAGAGCATACAAGCTTCCCTTTGAGTATGAAAGCAAAGCTGTGTGCTCTCGGTGTCACTTTATATCAAAACTATGAAGCATATTTTTATATCCATAGGCATGTAGAAGGCCTGCAATTCCAGTGACTGACCCTGCAGTGGAAGAGGAAATTTCAGTCATTTTGTTGCATATTGTTGTGATGCTTTTCAATGGTGAAAGCAAAACCAGACCTAAAAAAATCCCATAGGTTCTTTTTTTAAGATCCCACACCTAAAAGAATCCCGTAGGAAGTAGGATAATGATGCACAGAAAAATTGCTGATGCAATATCTGCTGCTATCACTGCCTTCTACTGTACATACATGATTTCTTGTTCAATGTGCTACATCTGTGTGAACTGACAAACACAGTTGGGCCACCTAAAAGGCCATGTTTCAAAATGGCTTTATTTTTACGTTCAGTTAAGTAAATCTGTGGTTTTGCCATTGTAAATAGAGACTTTTTGTTTGTTTTGCAAGTAGCAAACTGATGTATTTTTTAAAAAAATCCCATTCTCAGCTTTGTGGTTTCTGCATCTTACTGCTTGTGCTGCTGTGCATGGTCACAGGGAGCAGTACTCATGGGTTATCCCTATTTGAGACACTTCTTTTTCCATGGCAGTGTCTGCTGGCAAAGCCTTCCCTCCAATTCTGCACGGGGTTTTTTTGGGACACCATTTTACCTCTGTGGGAGTGAACTACATTGTTTTCTCCTTCATCCCATCCTCCTCAAGTGTCTTAGAAAATTTTCTAGAGTGTTTTTTTTTGTCCTTTGTTTATCTGGGAAGTGTTTGCCAGTTTTGAGTGTTTGTACAGGTCAGTATTACAACCAGGTTTTTGATCATGGCACATATATTTAAGAGGACACATGTATTTCTTGGTACCAATCCATGGGGAAAACTATTCTCCCATGTAGTCTTGGTCTTTTGGCATTTACAGAGTGAAGTTTTCAGACAGAGATTTTGAGCAGTTGGTAGTACCATATTTCCTTGAAAAGAAATTTTAATAGCTAGCTGTGATCTCAGTGGAAGCCAGTGGGAACCTCAGCTGCCTGTCTCTGCTTGGGACATACCACTGTGGTGGTCTCAGAGCTTTTCTGGTAATTCTGGCAGCTCCTGAGGAGGCTGTCAGGTAGGATGGGTTTTTCCCTCAGCATCAGGCTATGCAGTACATTTTTATAGCCACCTTTTCTGGGTGTTCCTGCTCCCTGGGGCAAGGTCAACATTTGCCTTCCTTTGAAAATCACTGTACCAGGAATTGGTTCTGGCTCTGACTTTAGAACTGACCTTGGCAAATGACTTTTGTGTTAGTTTCTGTATCTCTGAATTGTAATTAGGAGTAATGCAGCATTTTGTACAGTTCTTTTAAATGTAAATTTAAAATGTTGTTGGACTTGAGTGCTGAGGTGCCTGTGTGAGCAAGGGTCACAGGAGCAGATCTTTTATGCTCTGTTTCAAGGCAGCTTATAAAGGGAGCTGTGATTTGGCCTACAGTATCCATGAGCTCACAAAGGCAGAAGGGAAGCCAAAAATCACTTCCCTTCTCTGCTTTTGTTATTTTAACACAAATGCCTAGAAATGTTAAAGTCTGTAGGACTCTATATATAGATTCTTCAGGATGTATTTGAAATTCAAGGAAATAATATACTTTTCTTTTGAAATATTTTCCTCTCTCCTGTATATTTTTTTGTATTTTCAACTACAAAAATTCTTCCAATGGAAAATAAATAATGATTTGAGAAGTTGGTAACCATATGATTCCATCTCCCTTTAAATTTTTTTAATATGCAGTAATCTTATATAGCAAATAAAAGTTCTATTTCAGACTCTTCATGTTGAATTTAACTAAATCACTAGCTTATAGGCATTGATATTTAGAGTGATGGTGTATAGAAATAAGCTGCATTAAATCTGCTTCCATTTGTGCCAAATCAAATGTCAAAATAGATGGCCATGCATGTGTAATACTGGGATCTGCTGTGTGAAATTACTCCACCAAGCCATGCTTAGACACTAGTGTAAAATAAGTAAATATTTGCAGTAGAACAGCCAGCCCTGAAATGCCAGTGGTGTTAATGAATACCACTCTGGGTCTGGAGTTCCAGCATTAGCATACCCTAGGCACTAATGAAAATGTTTTTACCTCTGTCACAGTTCCCAGCTGTCTGGCATCTGCACCTCTGGGAATGCTGCTCTGACAGTGCTCATTTGTGTTGTTTTTTGAAGGCTATCCCTCTGCCCACAGGGGCTAAGAATTTCTCTATTTTCATTAAACTTGGGCTTCTGGGTCATATTAAAACTGTGTAAAATTTACACAACTCCTAGTGGTGAATTGGATGGACCTCTCAGCAACCTGATTTAGTTGAGGATGTCCCTGGATGGCCTTTAAAGGTCCCTTCCAATGCCAACTATCCTGTGAATGCCTGCTGGCCAGAATATCCCAGTTTGCTAAACTAACCTGAGATACACAATATTTAAAAAAATGGTCAATCATGCACTGCCATAGTATTTTCTTTCTGTGTCTCTGTTATGGTTTGCATGATAAAAGGAACAGAAAGGAGGGAATTCCTTAAGTCTAGTACACAAGAGAGAACAGCATTGCAAGGATGGAATTACAGCACCTGTGAGCACAGAATTGAAACCTTGAATTGGCTTAAAATGATGATGTTGTCACTTCAGACTCAAAGCCTGTGTGTCTTTGTTGTTGTGGTTTGTTTTTTTTTTTTTATTTCAGTATGTCAGGTTTTCTCCTGAAAAACATTTAAGTCCCACATCTCCCAGCAGAACAGACCAGAAATGCCCTGTGTTTTCACTGAAATTTTTGTCAGGTGTGAGCTGAAGGTTTTGGGAAGATTTGTCACTGAATACATGCTCTTTTCTCTCTAAACAAAACTTTCTGTTTCTGCAGACCGCTGCAAGTGCAAGCCTGTAAAAGCCACGCAGAAGACTTACCTACGCAACAACTACAACTACGGTGAGAACAGCTGCATGGCCAGCTCCCAGATGTTGTTTTAAGGCTGCAGGAGGGGGAAAGTTTTCATTTAAAGAGCCTAAAAAGTTCACAGTTACTGATGGTAACCCAGTATGACTTATTACAGGACAAAGGTGTCGTCTGAAACATTTCCAAATTAGAAGGATGAAGGGGATTAGCTTAATGTGTTGGTACAAGGGTATCTTTGTTGAGTTGGTTCAGTTTTGGTGCAGGCATTTGGGGTTCATGTACTTCTCTAGAGTGAACAGCCATGCAACAAAAATGACATTGTGTCCTGCTGTGCCTGAACTGCTCCTGTGATTTCCAATATACTCAGATTTTGTAGAATGGGATGTTTTTAGTGGCTTTCATGCCCACTAGCTCTCCATGAGATCTGACAGGTTCTTTTCCTTCTGGTGTATCAAAGCCAGCAATGAGCATCTTGCCAGCTGTGTTATGCTGTCAATAACACCTGCAAAAGTGCACATGTCCTGCTCTTTGGGCATATCACAGCTCCAGGCTCATGTTTTTCTTCAGACTCTTTGTTTCAAGCAAATTAGGCCAATGAAGCCACTGAATACATATCACAGGAACTGAACACTTGGCCCTTCCTTATTGCAAAAACCAGGCCTTGATCAGTTACATAGTTTTAAATCATAAACATAAGTCAACCAACCACCATACACCATGATGTGAACATGTAATAGTTGTATAATTTGTTTTTCTACCCCTAATTCAACTGAGTCACTTTCCCACAGTCCTTTTCTGCTTAGCTGAAGTAGCAGCCTGAGCCATGATTTTACAAAGGTAACAAGGCCCTTATTTCATAAAGCTTTACCTATATGCAGCACTTCCTTTTTCCCATTAATCAGGTGAAGAGCCTTAGGTTCAGTGAATTTTAAGGCTTTATTTAAATGGTGGCGATTGTATCATGTTTATTGGGATTACACATATATAAAATTAGAGTCAGACAATCTTCTTTTAAAAATAGTTGCTGTTAAAAGCTATAAAATTATCATTGTATTCAAACACTTTTTTGGTCACTAGTCAGTTTTTTGTTGTTTTGATGGATTTGTTTATAAAAAAATTAGAGTGACTCATCTCTAGTCAGAAACCACATATGGCAGAGTCATTGAGCATGCTCCTGTCCATTTTCTCAAGCTTTTGAAATTAAATATTTCAAAAAGGCATTTGAAGTATCTCCATGCTAAAGCAATATTTTATTTTGAGCTCTTAAAAGGTTTTGAGAAAGGGGATCATTTAGGGTAGATTGTGCGTACTAGATGCACAAGTTAGTGTTTGTTGGCAACTGTGTTTAATGTACCTGCAATACGTGCTGGTTAACAGTTGTTATGGGCCATGCATGTGAAGTGAGGAAATGTGTAAGTCCATGGTTTTCTTTCTTCTATATTACCTTTTTCATATAGGAGACATTTGGAATTTGGGGTACCTCCTATTTGTGGTGTGGAAAGGGATTCTTGTTTGCAGGCTGTGAGTGATGTGCCATTCTCTAGAGCATGACCCCTGGGTTGGCTTTGCATTTGCATGTGGTGTCAGTTCACTGGTCACCAAGAGAGAATGAAAAGCTTTGCCTTTGAAAGGCAACTTTTCCTCCTGTGTAACTTAAGGCAAAAAGAAAGGGCAAGAGAGGAAACAATTGGAGAGGTCACTGGGTCAAGATCAGGAGCATTTGAAGTTCATGAAGAGCAGAGCAGATTAGTGCTGGGTCACTGGAGAGAATAGAAAAGGTAAGGGCCTATCATCCAGCAGAAGTAGTGATATGAGAAGTTTTAATGCTCATTCACTTTTTCTGTAAGGTTCAGAGTGATAAAGTTTGCTCATCTGTACTGCAGGTGGTCAAAGAGGGAACAGCCACAGCTCAAGGGAGAGCATACAAGAAATAGATTTAATATATTTAATATGGAAAGGGTGAAGAAGAAAGGAAGGAAGGAAGTCAAAGGCCAACTTAAACAGGATGGAAATTGAACTGGTTCATTACTCCTGCTCCTGACTATATTATTAAGAGACACACGGAGCTACCTGGACCTCCTTGGTGGAGGGTGAAGTAATGAAGGGAACAGATGGAGGCAGAGACGTTGCAGCAGTTCAGAGAGGTCACCAAGAACAGCTTGGGAGTGACCTGCATTATCTGCTGCTTCTAACAAGGCTCTTTTTGACTTTTCCCCAGTCATTCGGGCTAAAGTGAAGGAGGTGAAGACTAAATGTCACGATGTCACTGCGGTAGTGGAAGTAAAGGAGATCCTGAAATCTTCCCTAGTGAACATTCCAAAGGACACTGTAAACCTTCACACGAATTCTGGCTGCCTGTGCCCACTGCTCAGTGCCAATGAAGAATACATCATCATGGGCTACGAGGACAAGGAGCGCTCCAGGTGACCCTTCCTGTGGTATCCTTGCAAACAGCAACATCTGCTTTCACTGTTCCTCTGTCACGAGGCTGAGTGTGAGAGCCAAAAGGAAGGAAAACTTGGTGTGGGTGTCTGTACATGTCCTTCATGGTACTCAGGGAGGGCAGGGCTCTCTGCAGGCACAGAGGTCTCAGTGTTGTGTGTGTTGGGTTGGCCTCTTGATGGAGTAACTGGTTGTCTCTGTTGTGTAGGTTACTCTTGGTGGAAGGCTCCATAGCTGAGAAGTGGAAGGAACGTCTTGGTAAAAAAATAAAGGTAAGAAAATACCTCACCAGAAGTCAAATGTTGTGGGTGCCATAAAACATCTACCTATCTTTTCAAAATAAGGGAAGAAAATGCCAGTTTCTTCTTCTAAATTAATATTGCTTACCAAAAACTAACTTGCTGTATTACTTAGAATTGGATGCTGAGTAAATTAAAGGGATACATTGAATTTCCCCAAAGTATCCCAGTGTAGCAGCAGTCAAAACCTCTGTCTCAAAAAAGCAAATAGTAGGAGTTTTTTAAATCTGTAGGCAAGCTGTGCATTCCACAACACATGCCTGCTTAGTTGGGGTTGTGATATGAAATAAAAAAACCCCAAACAGACCAGAGGGTTTTACAAATGTTTTTCAGACTAAGTCAAGATTATACTTTTAAGATTTAATATTCTTTAAATAGAGTTCTGCTCTCACCAAATTTTGTGGATTAGCAACTATTTTAAATTCATCTTCCTGGCTTGGCTGAGGGAGGAACCTGATAGGGAAGTCATGCCATGGCATAGTGGAAGCCATGAGCTCAAACACAAGTCATGCATTATGGAATCATGGAATGGTTTGGGTTGGAAGGAACCTCAAAGCCCATCTTGTCCCACCCCCTCCATCGGCAGGGACACCTTCCACTGTCCCAGGTTGCTCCAAGACCTGTCCAGCCTGGCCTTGAACACTTCCAGGGGTGGGGCAGCCACAGCTGCTCTGGGCAAACTTTGCCAGGCCATCACCACCCTCACAGCCAAGAATTTCTTCATCTATTTTATCTAATCTAATCTAATTTTCTCTAATCTCTGTCACTTTAAAGCCATTACCTCTTGTCATTACACATCAGTAATGGAGAGAAGGAGACATCCAAGTTTGGATCAGAAGCCAATTTTATTGAGTATATAAGGGTTTTATAAAAGGTTTTATTTGTATGACACTTATATAGGATTCTATGGTTACACATTCTTTATGACATTACATCACTTGGTAATATTATCTTAAAGTTTAAAACATTATCTACAAAAGCTTCCCAACATGTTTCTTGGTCACTTCTTGCCCAGGGAGCATTTATCTGTGTCTGTCTCTCCCACAGTTTCTGCTCCATCAGGCCTGAGATACCAGGTCCCTTTATCAGTTCCATTGTACTCTCTGTTTTATTCCCTATAATTACATGCTCTTGTAAAAAGTCCTTCTCCATCTCTATTGTTAGGCCCTTTAGGTACTGGAAGGTACTCTGTGATCTCCCTGGACCCTTCTCCAGGCTGAGCAACCCCAACTCTCCATATGAAAATATATTCTGGTTTTTTTCTTACTTAAATGTTTTCTAATGCCTTCCAAGTTCTGGAAGGATTACCTTTTTATGTTTCCATGTGCTGCAAAGTATCAGTGGTTTGGACATTGTTAGGAGTGTCACTTCACACAGAATATTCTTATTTTGACACAATTTCTCAGCCATTCATTTGCTATAATTGTTGTGCCTGTGCAAACCAGTCTTCTCTTACACTCAGCACTTTCTTCATCAGTGTAAGGGTCACTGGCAGGAAAACACTGTTGTGTTTATAAAAGCAAGATTATCTTTGCACATTTCTCACATCAGTGGAGATTACAGGAGTGAAAAGATACAGAGAGGGATCTTGTTTCGAGTTATTGTTTGATTTGGCAGAATCCTAGGAAATCCAGTGCTGCAGAGAAAATATCACATTGCTGCCATGGGCTGACTTCTGCTCACTCTCAGTTCTTGGGTGGTAACCTCACTTGTTGGAATTTTTTTGGGGAACACAGATACTTTCTCATTTACTTCCTTGTTGTCTGTAACCTGCTGCCTCTGCCCTTGCACCTGCCCTGGGGGTGTTGAGGACCCTGCCACGTCACCACCCACTTATCATCATCATCTTCATTCCCAAGAGCATCAACAGTTGTACCAGCTATATTTATTATGTCTTTGCCTTCTTTTTTTTGTTTGTTTTTTTTAACTGTGATGTCTGTTGCCTGCAAAAATAAGAGGAAATAAATAATAATAGTTTTTTTAAGTTAACAAAAATCCCTTGATTGTTTTTTCATCTTGCTTCCCCTAGACTGCATGAGCAGCTTCATTTAAATGTTATTATTTTGAAGGTGAGTCCCCCTTGTGCTGAAGCCATTATGCCTTGTATCAAACCTTTCATAGCCCTACAAGAAAGCCAGGAAATTGAGTTAAAGTTTAGTTTAGAAGTCATTTAAATAGGGAAACCTTTTCCCAACAGGCTCTCATGGCACCGTTGAGCCCAGTGCAGGGTGACAATGGTGGAAACAGCAATTGGCTTTTCTGCTTTTGCTGCTGGTTGTGATCACGTGGTTCTGTAACCTCCCTGTCAGGTTGTTTTCTGTAAAGAGCTGAGCAGCTCTCAGTTGCTATAAAGTTGTTGATTGCAAAGGCACATCAGTCTCAAAAGGCACAGAGTCACAAGCATTAAAGTCCATGCTAAAGTTTTGGTTTAGAGTCCTAAATAGCAATAAAGTCCCAGTCAGAGGCAGAAGCTGCTCCTGTCAAGGTGATTCTTCTGATGATGGCAGTGAGGAGAGAAGAAAAGTGAGGGAGCAGGAGCAAGAGCAAAAGCAAATCTCTCCCCAGTGCATAGATTCTTACACACAAATTACCCAACAAGCTAAAAACACTAACTCGAACCATTTCTTTCTAACCTATTAGTTAACGCCAGCTTATGCATAAACTATGCATTTGTTCTATCTGAAAAATGTAAGCAATATTCTTACTGTAGTTTTATGATGTATAAAACTGTTCCTCTATGGAAGCTTATTTTCAACACTGGTGTCTAGGACTATGTTTTTTGGCCTTCTACATTGGTATCTGAGCTATCTGAAACCTCCATGCTCTAACGCACTTAATTCTTGCTTACTTGCTTGCTTATTCTGAAACTTAAACTTTACACCTCTGCTTTATATGTGAGTGGCTTAACATCCCTCAATCCATCCAGAGGCTCTGACTCAATCCCTGCACTCCCGATTGGAAGAGTTCACTGTGTTTTACCGGGTGACTTGTCTGCCTTTCCCCCTGCAGCGCTGGGACCAGAAGCTGCGGCACGTGGGCAAGGGGAAGGGCGAGGCCGGCGAGGCGGCGGCGAGGGCTGGGGGTGCCCGGCAGGTGCGCACCTAGAGCTGCCACCTGTCACCTGTCACCTGTCACCTGCCACCTGTCACCTGCCGCCTGCCACCTGCCGCCTGCCACCTGCACGGGGACACGCAGGGGACTGGCCACCGAGACTTCACTGCTGGAGCAGCCGAGGAGAAATTGCACTATTGCACGTTATATTCTATTGTTTACTACCAGATCGTGTTTTAGCTTTTGTTAGTTTTTTGTTCTCCCTCTTGGGTTTCCGCCTTTTTTCTTTTTTGGATATGTGCAAGTTCTGGAAATGTATTTTTTTTTTTTTTTTCTGTTACTAAGAACTGTAGAAAACTGCCCTTATGAGATGAAGATTACCATTTTATCTCCTGAATCTTCTTTGGGAGAAAATTCTGATGCAAGCAGGAGCGAAATCTGGCAAAGATCATTGCTTAAAGTCATGACTCACGCTGGCTTTCCCTGTTCACTCTTTCTTGGTCACTGTTTGCTCTGTTTTGGGTAGGTTGTTATCTGGGTTTAACTGTATCATTTTTTATTCTGAAATATAATTCTGAAATACATAAACATTTTTTGTTAAGAGAATTTTTTGAGTCACTACACTTTTATTCTTACAGATAAACAACTTGTATAAGGCAGAGTCTAACTTGAAATATTTCCTGCAACAAACACAGTGTTCATGTACACAGGGAACCTGGGTTTTCCAGTGCTTTGGACCTTGAAGGAAAGATTGTCTAGTTCTGTAACCTATAATTTATAACATGCTTCTTCTCTTATAATGGCAGTTTTTTCCCCCCCTTTTCTCAGCTGAGTTATAGGAGTAGACAGCCTCACCAGGCCTGCTTCTCAGTACAGGTCTGCAGTTTAGCCTTTTGATTTTGTGGTGTTATTCTTAAATCCTTGCCTACATGAACAAGTGTTCAATGCTCAGTAACATATGTCCAATAAAAGAATTGTAGTCGCCAGCACAGACCTTACCTGACTTCTGAACCCACATCATATTGCTGATACTACTCTTGAAAATATAAAAACCAAAAAAAACATAGTTTTTGTGCTTTAATGCAATTCTTTGCAGATGGTGCCAACATATTCAAAATTATCTTTGTTTTTCTACTCTCCCATGCTTAAAATAAATTAAAATGGGGTCATCAAAGAACAATCCTCTTTGGCATAGTCTGCAGAGGGGAACTGGCTCTACTTGTAAAGAGCAAATGTCTGTTGTGTTCTAGCTGTCAGTGCTGTCTTTAGTACACTAGGGCTGCCTTTCAGTAAGAAAGCACTGTTGAGTTGTTGGGTGGTTTGAAAATATGATGATGATAAGTAGGACAGAAGTATTTGGGAATAATATAATAATTCTGGTTTAAGACTTCGGTTAATAACCAGCAGTGTTGGGACAGATTTTTCCATTGGGCTAGGTACCAAGAAAGCTGAAAAATAACAACATCCTGCAACACTCAAATTTCTGTTTGTAATTGAAAATACAGGGATAATTTAGGGGAAAGGTTGGTTCTGAAAGCTGGCAGAAAGTTATTAATCCTTCAGGTATTAAATCCTCAGTATTTTCTCAGAATCAGACAGATCACAGAATTATTTATTTTGGAAAAGACCTCCAGGATCATCAATTCCAAGCTTTGATTAATCTCCACCATGTCAACAAGAGCAGAGCACTAAGTGCCATGTCCAGTTTTTTCTTGAAGACCTCAGGGATGGTGACTTTAACAAGTGTTTCTACTCAGTTGGTAAATAACAATTTTTAAAGCTGTGAATAGCCAGTTAAATAATGTTAAAAACCTCATTATTTACCCCAAAGCACCCACTGAAGTCACTGAGTGCTGGCATTGCAGGGTCTGCACTCATCATGTTGTGCTCTGCTGTGAAAGGAATTGTGCAATCATAAAACCCTGTTAAAGATGTAGAAAATCCCCAGACAGTTGGGAGTTCACCCTTTGGTAGCCACCACTTCTGAAGATGGCCTCTCCCATACCATTTCTCTGTGATTAACAGCCACCTTTATTGAATCCAGTTCCAACCCAATACTGACTCTAGTCCCATTAAAAATGGCCAGAGCAGAGCACAGTGCTGAACTTTATACCTCAGTCAGAGAAAAATGAGCAGCATTTGTAACAGTCACACGTGTCATGATGTTACAGTGAAAACATTTCCCTAACTGGAAGCCACCAGATTGCAGTTTTTCCAGAGGAATTAAGCATTTTTCATTAGCACATGAAGAATGAGGGTTGCATGATGGGCTCCTTGGAAGAGGCAAGAGGCATTTTTTGCCATCCCTTGATTAACTGAGGAGCCTTTTATATACTCTGACGCTGCTTTTACCCCATTGCAGTCATTTTGGTGACTGAGCCTCTGCAGCACCACCCACACTCACTTGTGCTGGTTCAAATGACATCCAGGGACCAATGATGGCACAATATCAATTATTTCAATAACTTTGAGCATTTCAACACTAAAATGTTCTGTTGCTCTAAAGCTGCACTTACTGCTTTACCACATCTGTGAGGGCTTTGTGACAAGCTAGACTACTCCACTGGTGTTTTAAAGTGACTTGATTTAAATTATAGTCTTATTAATTTAACGTAGTTGTACATGATTTTCTTGCTTCTTCCTCAGGAAATCTCTTTCTGCCCTTTTTGTGCACATTTTGATATGATCCTACCTTAAACCTTCAAAAATGCACTATATAGCCCATTCTTCTGTAAAAGCACACAGCCCTCAGTGTTTTCAAAGACATCCACTTGGGATGTGGCTTTACTTCAATTTGTACTGGTTTTTGTTCCTCCAGTTTTATTAATTTCTGTAAACACAAAGGTAGGTATGTTCTAAAAGCTGGGTTTGTCCAAAGTCATGTTGCTCAGCTGCTGAGGAAATGGAGTGTCTACTACAATGTTTGCCTGATGGAAGAGCCCCCAGGAACCATCATAGGGGTACAGCAAGGGAAAAGAGCAGTGTTCCCATTTGAAAATATCTCTGTGATGCATTTTGGACATTGTAGCTGGGTGCTTCTATTCTCATCCACGCTCTTTCCTGGTTCCTGTGTTTTCCACACGTGCCACCAGCACTGCCAGCTCTGCCTGTGGTGGTCACAGTAAGTACAGCAAGGTGAGCATCATCACTGCATCAGCAAACCCTACGAAGCACACTGTCAATCCTATTTAATTGTTGGGCTTTGGATTGTTTTCTCTGTTTGTTTAAGTACTCAGAGAATATCAGTTAATGTGAGAAGGAAAATCTGCCACACGAAAAGCCAAGAAAAGCAAACTTCTGAGTTACCATGTTTACTACTGTCCTCCTGTCCTCACTCTCAAAGCCTTTGGAAGAAAGTAAGGTTTGTAATTAATTAGGTCTCTGTTTGAGATTCCCTGTGTCAGGAAAATTATTTCATTGATGTCAGAGGTTTATGTCCAAAAATGAGACAGAGGAGTCCTGTAATTTTATTTGAACAAAGGGAGAGGCCATGGGGCATTTCCCATGGGGTCTCTCGAATTGCTGGTGGATGCAGCCTTCTTTTTATCCCAATTTCCCAGCATTTCCCTCTCTCTTTCCCCACTAGCTGAGTTACTTGAGAGGTACAAACTTCCTGAATCACTTAATACAGATCCACCTTTTCTTTGTGTCTCTCTTCTTTTTCTCCAAGTCCAGGAATTTAGCACAGCTTTCACAATCTCTGTCAATTTTTTAGTGGAATCAGAGGAATTCCTCTGGAATTTATGGTCCCTCCCATTGCTTCTTTCACCTATCAGTATCTGGCTTTGTCTACCAGCAGGCCCACAGTTCCTTTGTCAAGACACATCCCTTTCATTCCTTTCACCTGAACATCCCATGCAATTTAGAACTAGAGTCAGTGGTGTGAAAACATGGTGCTTTTTAAATCTTGCCTAAGTTGGGTGGAGCTTTGCCTCATATTCCCAGGTCCTGCACTCAAGCTGGGTCAGTGTATGCTGACAGGTAGTGTTTTATTAAATTATAAAAGTTCTGCTTCCCATCCAGTATCTACTTCATTCCTCTCTTAAAGTAAGATACTCCCAGTTCATCTTTCAATCCCCATAGCTAAAGCCAAAGGAAAAATAATGTTGTGTGAGGATGAAGAAAAGGAAAGGTGTACAGTCTGGGAGCAGAGCCTGACCTGGGGTGTCACCAGGGACAAGAAGCAGCTGTTTCTGTCATATCCTGTGCTGCTCAGTGCAATGCTGGTAAGTGATTTCTGCAGTTCATGCAGGGCTCTGCCCTCCCTGGAGTCCAGCTCTGTCACTTGTTTCAGGAAAAAAAGACTTGAATTGCTTCAGAGCACTGGCTGCACCGAGGCTTCTAGTGTGGGCTCTGATGGTGTGTCCCTTTTATATGATTTTCCATATGCTGGAAGGAAGGTTGATTTCACTCTGTTTCCCAAGATCTTATTGAACAGTATAGAGACAGTATATAGCTTTTAGTCTTGCCTCTTTACCTGCAGTGAAACTATTTGGTCAGTCCATTAATTTTGTAGCTATGAAAAAAGTGCTCTGTAGTCATTCAGAGTATTTCCTTGTTTCATTTCAGAACTGGTGTTTTTTTGGAGGCAGCACTAAAATCCTATAGAAAAAGGGCAAACAGAACAGCATGTGATAGCCAGCTTGTTAATGGTGTATAATGTGGTTATTTTACCGGGTGATGCACATGATGTGCATACCTACACATGCACATGTGACCAAGTATCATGGGATGTATAGAAGGGTTAATTAAAACCATGCCTTTCCCATATCTGGGTTAGATTAGTCCAGAGAGAAAATATGCAGCTTAAAATCTCTGTGAATAATTAGCCTGACAAGTTGCTTCTCTGGTGCAGCTCAGCAGATGAGGAGGCAGGAGGAATAAACACCAAAGTTGCTTATTCACAAGCAATGTCCTTAATTTCTGGCAGGGTTCACTCGTGGCTTTAATAAATCTGCTCTGGACATGTTAGCAGTGCCATGAAAATAACAGAGCTTGATTTCAGCCTGGGAATTTTTATTTTGGAGTTTATTTCCTTCCACTGAGCCAATAAT